TTCTGCTGGGAAGTTGCAACTTTTTCTAGATTTAGGACGTTACGAATTTCAATCATGAGTGCATCATGGGCAGATGTGGCTGATTCAGAAAAGGCCGGTTCTAAGCCAAAGACTTCCTACGTTCCCCCACACCTACGGAACAGGCCATCAGAGCCTGCTGCTGCTCCTTTGCCACAAAATGATCATGCAGGGTATGGTGGTCAACCAGCTGGGTCTCGATGGGCTCCTCCTAGCAGTGGGGGTGGTGGTGGCACCGGCGGTGGCTATAGGAATGATGGAGGGCGCCCTGGCTATGGTTATGGTGGAGGAGGAGGTGGTGGTGGTGGCTGGAACAACAGCAGTGGAGGGTGGAACCGTAAGGAACGTGAAGTAAACCCATTTGGAGATGATGCTGAACTAGAACCAGTCTTTACAGAGCAAGAGAATACAGGCATTAATTTTGATGCCTATGAAGATATTCCAGTTGAGACCAGTGGGGGAGACGTGCCCCCTCCTGTTAACACATTTGCTGACATAGATCTTGGGGATGCATTAAATCTGAACATCCGGAGGTGCAAGTATGTGAGGCCAACACCGGTACAGCGTCATGCTATTCCAATACTGCTTGGACAGAGGGATTTGATGGCCTGTGCCCAGACAGGGTCTGGGAAGACAGCTGCTTTTTGCTTTCCAATAATTAGTGGAATCATGAAAGATCAGCATGTACAGAGACCCCGTGGTTCACGAACGGTTTACCCTCTTGCAGTCATCCTCTCACCAACAAGGGAGTTGGCATGCCAGGTAACATTGAGAATCTACTCATTTCCTTCTAGAATAGAGTTTCTTTGGAAACAATTTAATGTATATAATAGACACACATTTCTCATTCTGTGATTTTGGCAGATACATGATGAAGCCAAAAAATTCTCCTACCAAACTGGTGTGAAGGTCGTTGTTGCTTATGGAGGAACACCTATTAACCAGCAGGTAATTATCATTCACATTTTTATTTCTTGGTTTTCAGCTTGTCTTTGGATATTGCTACATGATTGTAGCACTGTTTTCTTTTATGTGAGTAGCAGCTTACGCTTAGTGATTTGAGTTCTGCTAGCTCTTTCCTTCCTCATGCCAGTCTCCTTAGTGAACATATGTTCTGATTGTGAAGTCAGCAATGCATAATGTTGACAAAGAACAAATCTTATATTACACACTTTTTCATATGTTAGTTAACATTGCCATATTGCTTGTATCATCATTACATAACATGCAGAAGCATTGGAATAATTAATCCTTGTTACAGGTGTTAAGTTAGCCAAACAGATTTCAAGCATCGATTTGTTGGCCTCATTTTTTATTGTTTATTCAGCTCAGGGAACTCGAGAGGGGAGTTGATATCCTTGTGGCAACTCCTGGCCGGTTAAATGATTTGCTAGAGAGAGCTAGAGTCTCAATGCAGAGGATTAAATTTTTAGCTCTAGATGAGGCAGATAGGATGCTGGACATGGGTTTTGAGCCACAAATTAGAAAGATTGTTGAACAGATGGACATGCCTCCACGTGGGGAGAGACAGACAATGTTGTTCAGTGCTACATTTCCAAGGGAGATCCAGGTTGGTTTTACTTGTCCATGAAACACCTTTTTCTTGCTCTCAAATTCTAGTGAAGTAGCATGGTAGGATAACAGTGTTCTTTGTTTTATATCTGTAACTTTGTTCCTTCCCAGATCATGAGGTGAAGCGTTGATGATTTAGTCTTAGAGTGTTATATTTCGTATGTGAGAACAGCTGCATAATATTCAGCACGCACAATAATGATTGGTTCTTAACGTTTCTTTTAATACTACCTTATTTGTTTCTTGTACAGAGACTTGCAGCTGATTTCATGTCAAACTATATATTTTTGGCTGTGGGAAGAGTTGGTTCAAGCACTGATTTAATTACCCAAAGGATTGAGTTTGTCCAAGAGTCTGACAAGAGAAGCCATCTCATGGACCTGCTTCACGCGCAGAGAGAGACCCAAGACAAGGTACTGCAATAGTTACAATCTGTTTACTTATCCAAGATTTATTATCACTCAAGCTCTGACTAATACTGGCTTTCTTCTCTTTTTATACACAGCAATCATTGACATTGGTTTTTGTGGAGACAAAGAGGGGAGCTGATACTTTGGAAAATTGGTTGTGCATGAATGAGTTTCCAGCAACCTCCATACATGGCGATAGAACACAACAGGTTCGTTGAGTGATTGAAGTTGAATTTCTTGGATGTAATTGTGAGCATACTATTGTGGAGTAATATATACATCAAACCTTATTGTGGAGTAATCTATATACTTCACTCCAACTAAAGCTAAAACCAAACTATGTTTGTTAGAAACAACCTCGATGATATTACTGATTTGAACTCTTTAAAGTTCATCATCAGTAAGTTTGTTCTCTGTTGATTTAATCTAACTTCTTTGTGTTGTTATGAATTCAAAGGAAAGAGAAGTGGCACTGAGGTCCTTCAAAAGTGGGAGGACACCTATTTTGGTTGCAACAGATGTGGCAGCACGTGGTCTTGACATTCCCCATGTGGCTCATGTTGTGAACTTTGATCTACCAAATGACATTGATGACTATGTCCACCGTATCGGACGAACAGGACGTGCCGGCAAATCTGGAATAGCAACTGCCTTCTTCAACGAGAACAATGCACAAATGGCTAGGTTGCTTGCTGAGCTGATGCAAGAAGCCAATCAAGAGGTGCCCGAGTGGCTCACACGATACGCTTCACGTGCTTCATTTGGTGGTGGTAAGAAACGGTCTGGTGGTCGGTTTGGTGGCCGTGACTTCAGAAGGGAAGGCTCTTACAGTAGAGGAGGCGGTGGAGGAGGCGGTGGCAATGATTACTATGGTGGAGGAGGCTATGGTGGTGGTGGATATGGTGGTGCTCCAAGCGGTGGGTATGGTGCTGGAGTGACCAGTGCTTGGGATTAGCCGATTAGGCTCCCCAATTTTTCCTCTTTTTAACCCGACTATTTATTTCTTCTCTTCTACATTCCCAAGAGAGCACATGTATTTTCCCCCACCTTTGAGATCTCTCATTCAAGAGATGGATTTAACTAATCTTGCTTTTAGGTGGTTCTCTCTGTTTTTTCAGGCTATTTTTTTTAGGATTTTTCCTAAAAGATAGGCAGTAGTTTTTTTTCCGATTTTGATCATGTGCTTGGTTTCTTCTAACAATTTCATTTGTTAGTTTGAAATCCAATTTGTCTTTTTGTTTCCCTTTGTTGTTGACAATCTTTCTTGGTGAAATACAATCTCTCTTTATATCCTTTTTAAGGACTTTGTGCTTACATAGTTTAAACTCCTTTCCACTACTTCAAAAGGATAAAATGCAGTTATAAATTGTTGCTCTTTATGAATAAAACTTTTTGACATTTAGATTCAACAACTATTTGCTATTCATCTTCAGAATCTTCTTCAAGCTCACTTCCCTCCACAATCTCTTCTTCTTCAGAGCCTTCTTCCTCAAGGTCATCCTCTGGCCTATCAAGCAAAAGTTCCTCTTTAGAGACCATGCCTAGCCCTCTAGCCCGGTAAAGAAACCCTGTTCTCATCACATGATAGAACTTATCTCGAAGACGAGTGAGAGGATGCGGATTCACTAGTTTTCCTCGACGATACCCTTCTTTGAGGATCACAGTTGTTGTCTTACACTTCAATGAGAGGTAAAAAATGCCGGGGTATCGCGTGAATAGACGAGTGAACTTATGCGGAATGTCGAGCTCCGCTCTCATGCTTCTCAAGTAGTTCCTCTTGGTTTTCTTGTGGATAGTCAAGCTCAAGAGCTCGTGCAAAACACCCACAGCTCGTTTCTCCATGAGATCGCTTTCCGGGTCAATGTTACTCGAGTCATCGTAAGGAGATATGTAGGGAAGTTTTTGGAACTCATCCATCCATGCTTTGACCTTCTTCTGTGCTCCATATCCTCTAGGGAAACTCATAGGGAAAGTCAATGTAGACTGACCTCTTTTGAACTCGCGGTAACTAGAATCCTCCCCGGTAACACCATTGTCCTCGTTTCGCTTCTGCAGCGCCGAGAATGCGAATTCGTCACGCCATTTTACAAGCTTTAAACACGGGTTACCATTAGAAGCCTTGACGAAGCAGAAATGATCAGGGTATTTCATGACTAGCGTCTTTTCGTAGTTATCAGGTAAACCGAGATCGAATTTGAGAGAATGCAGTGATCTGAGAGAGACAGTTTTTGTTCTCATCATCATAAGAACTCTACAGAGTCTCTCCACTGTATCAGCCTCGTGGCTTTGATGAATAATCTCTTCCTGTGAGTCTAGCATTAGTGCTGTGTCCGTTAGCTTGAAACATGGTAAGCTTGCGTAACGAGCATGAGGAAATTCGTGAAACAGAGTCGGATACCTAAAAAAATGTCGACTTTCATTACAAAATTGATTACTTTCTAAAGCAACTTGAAATTTCTCTGATTGGGATACCTGCGCAAGAAGCGGAGAACAGGGACGGTGAGTCCAAGGAGTTTTTGCCAATCGGCGACGGATTTTGCGGTGAGGAAACCGGTGGGCGATCGCTTAATGGCGTCTTTGAGAATGCAAGCTGCTTTGAGATCGGTCTCGGTATCAATGACGTGATCCAAGTTCTTGTTCTTCACCCACTTCAGTCTCACCTTTGTCATTGCACCCATTCCTCGCCATTGTTGATGATGGTAGTGAAACAGCTTACTCACCGAAAAGAGAAAGCTTTGGGATTTGACGAACATCTAAAGAGATTTGACGAAAATGCGAAAACCTGCTGGATGATCTCTAATTGGAAGTGCAAAATGTGTTTAGGGTTTAGTGTTAGAATAGAGAGAATTGGGGAAGACTAATGCAGACAAGCTGCTCGACGAAATTCCTGAATGAATCCAAAAACGAGATTTATTTCTACTTCTAACTCTAGAGGCCCACTGGCAACATTTAAGGTAAGCCTTTTTAAGTGGCTTGGCGATATGGTTTTGCAGACAGAACCTAAAAGCTTCGAACTTTTGTCTGCGGTACAACCAAATTTGCAGAAACAAGTTCGAGACTCGACTCGCGCGACTCGGGGAGACTTAGCTCGTTTATCCTAGACTCTTTAGTCCTGAGGCTGATTGGTAGAAAAAAGTCGCAAAGCTTGGATTGAGAATCATGGAAGCGAAGAAAGTGACAGAAGAGGAAGAAGAGTCATGGAGGAGAGAGATAGTAACAAGCGTTATGAGATTAGTGAGCACGAGATTGCCTCAGACAGATCTAATTTCTCTACTTCTCGTTAGCCCTTGGCTTTATCGCACTCTCATCTCCTACCCTTCAATCTGGCTGGTAACAAAACTTTGACTTCTTCTCAGGTCTTTCCAAGTTTTCAAAATTTTCTATCTGATACAAAGTGTTGATTGTTCTCTTTTCAGAACATCGATTTGCGCGAGATGACCAATGCAGGGGATCGGCTTTTAGCTGCTCTGTCCTTGGTAAGTTAACAATTAAAAAGTTTGATACTTTGATACTGGACTGTGCTTGAATTCATTGGATTTATTTATTGCTGTGAGTGTTTGGAAAGTTTGAGCAGAAGTCACTCATCATGCTTTCAAATTGTGTAGCCAAGATATAGACAAGTGAAGCATATCAATCTTGAATTTGCCCAGGGTGTTGTGGACAGTCATCTCAAACTTGTGAAAGCCGAGGTAACTTTTTGGCAGATTCTATTGGCTTTATGTTTTCTGAATATCCGTTGAATTCAAGATTTGACTATGAGGATCGTTCTAGCCATTTGGATTTCTTAAAAATATTGTAGTGGCTGATGTGTGAACATTTTAGTACCCGGATGCTCTTTTAAGTTTAGAATGCTTGAATCTGAATGGGTGCCAAAAGATATCAGACAATGGAATCGAAGCTATAACTAGCATATGTCCAAAGTTAAAAGTTTTTTCTATCTACTGGAACGTAAGGTGATATTCTGTCTTAGTCATTTATGTCACACTTCTTGATTTTATCTCCTCAGACGAGCCTAATACTTTGGTTTTTTTTTCACAGGGTGACTGATGCTGGTATTAGACATTTAGTGAAAAATTGCAGACATATCATTGATTTGAACTTAAGTGGCTGCAAGGTATCTTAATCTACATTTCTGGAGTTTTATTCCTGATGGGTGGCGATAATTATGGCAATGTTTTACACAAATGGACACAGCCTTTCTCTTATGTTTTCTCTGTTTGTAATGGATGAGAATTTTTATTTGGATGTGCACCAATTGATGCAGAGTCTAACGGACAAAAGTATGCAGCTAGTAGCTGAAAGTTATCAAGACTTAGAGTCACTGGATATCACTAGGTAAGTTAAATATGTTAAAGTCGCTAGTTCTCATCTACTACTTATCCCTGTGGTTATTTCAAAAGGACAGATAATCCATAACATTGTTGGATATCATTCTTCATTTGTTGATTGTTCACAAAGATGAAAGCATGATTTCCATACATTTTTATTGAATATTTTGGGTGTTTGGTCTTGTTGTTCACGATGCTGCTAGGTGTGTTAAGATTACAGATGATGGATTACTTCAAGTGCTACAAAAATGTTCCTCTCTCCAGACCTTAAATCTCTATGCTCTTTCAGGGTATATAAGCAACATATATCTATTTGTTTCTGGCTACATTGAAAAGCTAGCAGTTGTAAGTTCTCGAACTGATATTGCAATTTCTTGCAGCTTCACAGACAAAGCCTACAAGAAGATATCACTTTTACCTGACCTAAGGTTCTTAGATCTATGTGGCGCTCAGGTATGAGTTGGTGAATCCCAATTCATTTAGTTGCATTGTTCTCTTTCCTTTGTGGATGGATGAGTTTATTCAAGATCTTTGATATCTCTCACTGTATTGTAGAGTATAGCTAAGAATCGTTGCTAGCAAACCCATAGCACAGATCATATACTTTGATAGTGACTTTCTTATCTTTGTTGTAAATCTGTAACTAAGAGTGCGACATTGGTTGTCAGAATTTATCCGACGAGGGGCTTGGTCATATAGCTAAATGCAATAAACTGGAGTCTCTCAACTTGACATGGTAAGCTAAGTCTCCCCTTGCAATAAAGATAATGAGCAAGAAGATGCGTCTTCATGCCAATTGCTTCTTATACATTGCAGGTGTGTGCGTATCACAGATGCAGGTGTGATAACCATTGCTAATAGTTGTACCTCCCTCGAATTTCTCAGGTACTTGATCCATTTCTAGAACTATTTGCTTGGTTTTGTCAATGAATCTTTTTGCTGACACCAATTAATTGCAGCTTGTTTGGAATAGTTGGGGTGACTGATAGATGTCTGGAGACCCTCTCGCAGACATGCTCTACTTCACTCACCACTCTTGACGTCAATGGCTGCATCGGCATCAAGGTGACGTTTTCTCTATATGAAAAAATTCAGTTTCTAGTTTGTTTCCTCCCAATATACCAGTTCCTATGTAGTGGGGGATGCTCGAGACCAACACATATTGTTAAACACATGATAAATTTGTGCAGAGACGAAGCCGTGAAGAGTTGCTTCAGATGTTCCCTCGTCTGACATGCTTCAAAGTACACAGCTAAAATTTGCTCATAATTAGAGGAGGACTCTCAACAAATGTCTATTCTTCAGTTATACAACTTACAATCACATTTTTGTTATGTATTTTATATGAGTTTGCAAGCCTAATAGAAAAGGAGTTATTTTTTGAGCAATAATAAATCAGATAAAATAGGCAAAAAATGAAAAGCAAATAGGATAAGTCCAATCATAATTGACCTATAATATACTGTGCTTTGCTACTCGTGTCACGTATTGGATGCATTAGTACACAGTAACAAAATACGCCAATGCACAGCAGACAAATATATGGCCACCAAAAATATCTTTTAACGGCATTCAGATGTTTGGGATCGAATATTGGTGATAGGAATGGCCAGTCGCATTTGGCTTAATACATCATCTGGAAAAGGAAAATGCTCGTCAAAAGATGCTTAATCAGGCCCAGATTGATGACTTGGTGGCTAAAGGAGTCATCAGATTCATTGAGGAGAGTGAGTGAGTGAGTGATGGGTAGCAGATTTTAATTGGCCATGTTTGTCAAGTCTTGTTTAATTAGCTTTCTTTTTCTTTCTTTCAATGGGTTTTTATGAAACATGTTTCCATCAAACTAAATAGCTCTCTTTGTATATGACATGTTTCCAAAGAGTTCGAATCGTATTATATGATGCTTAAGAGTTTCTCAATAAGTTTTTATTAATAAACCATGATACATCTGCTTCAGCTATACATATGGCTCGTATAATGGTTTTGGTTGTTGTGTTTATTGACTTAGATTACAGAGGATTTACACTAAATACCATACTGAGAGAACACCAGCCAGCATTAAACCAAATTGCCTCTTGTCTCTTCCTTTGCTGCTTGAACTTGTGGAGACCGCTGCAATAATTTTTAGTCCCGAGAAAGCCGAAAATGAATGTTTGCTCAAGTAGAATCAAAACTGTTAAGTGAGTGGTATTAGTACCTTTATGTCCAACATTCTGAGAAGAAGATTCATTGAATTGCTTAAATATCTGAGAGGCTGGTGAATCTGGAAGCAGATGTAGAAGATCTTGTTCCAAACAAAATGAAACAATGAGAACAATCTAGTTTGTGACCATGCAATACTTTTTCAGGAAAACATTGTAGAAGATATGAAATCTCTCACCTGGGCACTGAGAGATATTTGCAGGGACATGACAAGCGGAAGGGAGGCTCATTGCACGATTGCCATCAACTTTGAACCCCAAACCAGGATCATCCCTGTCTTTGACAAGAGTACAGAGACATTTCTTGGTCTGCCCTTTGTCTATTTTTGCCTTAAGTGTGCTGCAACATGTTGAGTCTGGAGCTTTAGCTTTGTTAGAGACAAAAGGAAGACAAGAGTAGAGATCAGACATGGCCTCCTGACATCCCTTTATGTCCTGACTCAATTCTGATCTCACACCAAGAAACATTACTGCTACTGTTATGCATAGAGCCAACATTTGTCGATTTTGACTGTAACCCATGAATCTAGCCATCAGTTTATGCAGCAGAGTAAGAAGTTAATGTGGCTTTTTATAAGACTTGTTTCATGTTCACATATGTTTCCCTCTCTAGTTAGAGGGATACTCAGAGTTCTAAGTCTGCAAGAAACTTGATTTAAAAAGAATATATAATGAGTACTAGTTATCATGTCTAATGTCTGAATTGAAATTTGAGTTTTGGATCATCTTCAGTTATTGGAGGGTTACATATAAAATATATCAAGTTGTTCACAGTTCGTTTTCACAGTATCTGCAAGATATCTTCAAGTAAAGAAAGTAAAGAACATTGATAGTTAAGCTGTAGGGTTAAAGTGTAAGGAGGCTTGCAACCATAGAAGACACAGATTTTAATATGGAAGGTGAAGTCACTATATTCTTGAAGAATCTAATGTTTACATTGTTACAATGACAAGCCAGTGAAGACAAAACCTTCTGGCAAAGAGGAATAACTATAGAAAGAAAAGCCAAACGAACCAAGAAGTAAATAAAACTGTGATACAGAGTAGAACGCAAGCAAAAACCCCAGCAGGAGAAAACCCAGGGACATGGCCACGTGATCTACTTCATGTAGCTTAACCATAGCCATTGGAACCAGTCTTTCAGTATCGGTTATTACATCTGCAGTATCTCTATAAATATTGTTTCATCTGTGAGTTTGCAGCATCAGCGTCTGGCCCTGGGCATGCAGCGGAATTCAGCCAAAAGTGCAATGTGATCAGAAGACCATTCTGGAGATGGAAGAGCTGTGTCCTTCCTCAAGGACTCTTCATCCAACAGTTCCAACAATGATTCCACTGCTAGCGTGTCCGCTGAATCAAAACAAAAAGGAAATTGTTTACCAGATGAAAAGAAATTTGAGTTGAAACTTGAAAGCATGCATTGTCGGAGAAAGCTGGAAAGTAATCACTTAAGTTAACCTGTGTAGAATATGTAATCAAGTGTGCCTATAAAGTCCCTGGTACAGTTGGTAAACAAAGGTTCATTTGATGCAGGATCCATTCTTCTACGTTGCTGCTCAGCAATAACGCTGCCTCCCATTCTTGCAAATGATGAGTAAGCACTAACCTGCAATGGTCACAGTAAGATTATGCCATTCTAAAAAATTTGAAGTCTGTCTTTCAAGATTCTTTGCATCTCTTTTCCGTTTGTGGGAAAAGATAATTACCAGTGGCAGCTGATGAGTAAGCTTGGTATGAGGACGCAAAATTCCAAGAGGATCAACCATCAAATCTGGGTGCAATGGATCGACCTTTCCCATAGCAAGAAGTGTATGAGGAGCACTGAATATATTAAGAAGGAACTCCAAGTTAATTGAGGTAGAAACCACAATCATAATTTAATATTGATTTTGACAATCGCCACTTGGGCATAACAGTCAGACCTCGCAGGTACTGTGTTGAAATCTCCACACACAAGCATTGGAATATCTGCACTGGCAGCTATTTTCTCCAGTCCCTTCAATAATGTGTGAACCTATTTGGCAAGAATCATTATGGGTCAGTAGTGATGTTAGAATCCGAAGTCTGAGAGTTCTTTTACAATTCGAAATAAAGACCAACCTGCCACAGCTTAACATCTTTTAGTTCATGAGGAACGTTTACATGCGTGTTAGCCTACACCCATCAAATACATGAAACAGAGAAAAAATGATCACCTCGAGACCTTTAAAGGAGGAGAGCAAGTGGAAACACATAACTTCAACCCTATCATCATCTCTGACAATAAAAGAACAATATTGAAAAGATGGAAAACTTACCACACAAAGTAGCTGGCGCTTTCCAGGATTGTCAGCAGCCTGGCTACCGAATTTTGCTTCTAGTACAACTATTAAAGCAACATTATCCTAAAAAGAAAGAGTCTAAATCAGTTTTACATGAAAATTTATCGCCGAGAATGTGCGGAAAACAGAAATCTTACTGTAGAGCATCTCAGAGTACCTTAACCAATCGATTCAAAGCAGTTTTCTTCTGGGAAACAGGGATAATAGCATCAGTCAAAGACTGTGCAGCCTTGTTGAACTCAACCTGGATGAGCAGCCCAATGATTTAGCAAATGGGCCTAATTTGATAGGTAATAGCACAAAACTAAGACATACCTCGTATTTTTTGACATGTGAGAACCTGTCTCTTCTGAAGAAAGTAGCGCACCCATCAATTGTGTTTGTATTACCGACGAAAACCTAAAGTTATCCAGTGAATCAATATTTTCAGGTTAGTAAATCTTGCAGATAAGTGATCAGGAAAAGGTAATGGAGGATCAAGGGGATGCGTCCAAGCAAACCTCATTTGTTTTCCTCTTAAATAGACCTTGGTATCCGTGTTTATCCAGCTCAGGAGAAAAAAACTCCTCAAAATGATCATTCTGTACCTGCAAGATGAAAAACGAAAATTTTGGAGAAGAATTTATCCATTAACTAGCAATTGAAACGTTTCCAAGTCATTGCAACTTGTGCCATAAATATTTAACATACCTCTTGTAGACAAACTATATCTGCGCGGTACTTGACAATTTCTCGTAACAAATTCTGTCTACGGTATGTCCAAGCGAGAGCCCATGTGGGGCAGTAATTGTATATGTCGCTGCTAGCATATGTATCAGACAATATATTGTAGGACAGCACAGTGAATGATCCCATAGACAAAGGTCGCCCATTAGAATCCAGGTGCCCAATAACATCAGCTCCACTAACAGGGATAAGCCTACGCGGAGAAGGTGATGGAGCTGGAATAACACGGGAAGTCAATATGGTACAAGAAAGGCCCACATTCTGTTTAGTCTCTGCATTGACTACTACACATTCAAACTTCAAAACATGGCCAATATCGTCAGCCATTGGTGTGTATGTCTTAGAGCGTCCAACCTCAACAAGTGTTTCTCCTCCAGCACCTGTCTTTTGAGTTATGGCTGCGGGATAAACTGATGAGGACCCATTCGTTAAACTTCCACTGGTGCTGAGAACACCAGATCCAGACCCTGAGCTATTCAAACGGAGCAACTCCTCTTCATCATTTCCTTCTGTAGCAGCACTGGCAGCACGCTCGTGCAACACACGGTGATGTTGCCACGCATCCGAAAAGCACTTAGTAGAGCAATGGTAGCTTTTGGCAACAGGAACCTTAGACTTTAGACATCCCAGACACTGCAATGTGGCCGGCTCGGATGGATGCACACTACAAATCGCAACTTTCTTATCACTCTGTACTCGATACCTGCAACAGATGCCAAAAGACAGATTGGCGACTTACAAAAAAAAACCCACTTTATAATTAAAAGAATCATTTTGACACTCAAATTTGCAAACCAACAAAGACTTGAACTTACTAAGAAACACATACATAAATCACAGCCGGGAATTCACAGAAAAGTGTCAAACTTTGGTTAAAACAAACTCGCCCATAAGAAACTCGAGGAAAAAAGCAAGTAAAAAGGAGCAGATTTAAGAGTGAAAGAAAAGCCACAGGCATAACTTACCATCTGTACTTTAAGAAGTGACCTTCAAGCGGGGCAGACTCAGGCACATCATCGGTGGTGGGGGTTTTATCAGGCCGCCGGAGAAGCACGTAAGGTGTAAGTTCGCAGCCAACAATAGGTATCTCGGACGGTAGATGCACCCGTATAACGCTAAGCATTGCTTTCCCGTAACTAAGTAAAATTCTCAAAGCTAATCAACACTAACGAAGCCCAAAGGTAGAAACTTTTAGATAGATATTGATCAAAGAAAGCACAAGAGATAAAGCGGATCCCTAATGGATCCGCCATTTACTTGACCCTAAAACCCGCCAGCATGGATGAACCCTAATTCTCCCAGAACCCTAGATTTACCCCCAATTTTTCTCCAACCCCGAATTTGACGACCTAAAATTTATGAAATTGAAATCCAAGAGTAGAGTGGGATCGAAATTTTCGCTACGACTAAAATTAATTTCCAAAGACGGCCAAAGACCCTATACGGTCTACGGACTCTATATATTTTTATTTTTATTTTTATTTTTATTTTTATTTTCTAAAGGCTGCAAATTACAATTTTTATACACAAACATACACTTTTGAAAAAACGACACTATACATGTATTTTTCTTTTACCGAGATTTATGTCGTAATTAGCCTGGATCAATTAAAATTGACATGGAAGTTTTCACAATAAAATTTAGTCTTTTTTTTTTACTCCTTCCGTCCCATAAAGATAGATTTTTAAAAAATTTCACATTCTTTAAAAAATAAGGTATAACGATAATTTTAACCTTTTAACCTTTTAACATATTTTAAAAAATATATTATTTATTGTTTTTTAATAAGGGTAAAATAGGTAAACTGTTTTTAAATTTGATATTGGAAACTTGAACTTCTATCTTTGTGGGACAAATTATTTTTCTAAAAAATTTATTTTTGTGGAACGGATAGAGTATTAAGTTATATTTGTTGTATGCGTGATTAAACGAGATCCATTGTCCTAATCATTTATGAAGTATTATAGTTGAAGTACGTATCAATCACTTATGATGTCAAAAGTATTTTAGTATTTTTTGGCACAAATATTTTAATAGTACTGAAGTAAATATTTTAATATTTTTTTGGCATAAACTTCTTTTTTTTCATTTTCAATTCCACTTTTTTTTTAAGATCTTCATTGTAACATTTCAATATTGGTTAGAGACAGATAATATACAATATTTAGGAAATTATGATTTCTAAAAAATTGTTTGAGAGGGTGTAAATGGAAATGATAGCACATACTCATATTCATGACATTTGTTAAAAATAAGTTGGTATGTATGTACTAATTAATATATTTAATGGCAATTAATATCTAAATTTGTCAGTAATTACTTTTGTCCAGACCACAATAAATATTCGTCTTAGCCAATCCTCGATCTTCGTGGTTATCACGCGCTATGATAATAAATGCCGACACACAGTTCACTTCGTTATAACCACGCCGGCACGCTTTTCATTATCGGAAAACGGCAAACAATCTGAAAATTAAAAAAAAAAAAAAACGAGAAAGGCTTTGGAAATAATAAAAGTTCATCGAAATACAAATATCTCTTCATCTTTTTCTCTTTTGCTCATTTCCCAGAAACCTTTGTTTCATTTGCTTCGTG